ACCAAGTTACGACTGTTTCGTGACCCATTTACCTTCGAATTAGCGACTGTATACCGACTGATGTCGAGAAATGAATAGTAATTTGTTGCAATTTTGCGACTGATTTGTTTCTGATCTGTGACTATTTTCCGACTAATTTATGACTGGTTTGCGACTATTTTGAGCATCGTATATTCAATTTGGTATTGCTGTTTACAAACCCCCAATTTGAAACCCTGATTACAAACAATGCTCTAAAAAGTCTTTTTTGAATTCTAAAATCATGATGAATATTTAAAAAGCAAAAGGAACAAATAATTTACATAAAAGTCATTGCATACAAACCAAAAAAATCTAAAATGGTTACAATATACAACCATTATAAAGAAGTACAAAATGAGAAGAGACCTACTCTTCTAAGTTTCCGAGACATTATAATAGTTCTAAGGTTCTAAAAAAAGTGAGAAGAGACCTACTCTTCGAAGGTTCCATTAGTTATCGGATCAGCAGGTGTTGGAGACTTCACAGCAGGAGTGGTCGATAGAGGAGTTTGACTAGCCAAAAAATCATTGAACCGTGGATCAGTTTGAGTCAAGTACCTTTCAACCATCGTGAGCTTCTCGAGCTTGGCTTCTTGCGCAGCTGTAGTTTTGGCAAACTCTGCTTCACGCCGTGCATTCTCAGCCGCTTGGAGCTCTATTTGCTGTTGAGCTTGTTGAAGCTGTTCCTGCAGAGTGTTGTAGGATGCAGAGCTTCCTGGGTACTTCCTCTTGCCATTTACATACAAGTTAGAGAGGCTACCAACTCCATAAGGTATTCCTCTTTCACTCATAATAGTGGACTGCGAATACAAAAAAAAAAGAGTTAGCTCTCTACGAGGAAAAAAAAGAGTTAGCAAAAAAACCCCAAATAAGAAAACTGAACCGTACCTGTAGAAACAAGTCATTCTCCTCTTCTACAATTAGCTCTCGACGAGGTGATGTACCCTCAGGATTCTCTGAGTTTTCAGTCCTGATGGCAGACAACTTGGCTTCCAAGTTTTTCTGGTAAGTCTCAACCACTCTCTTTGCCTTTCCATCCACATAACTCCCATCCTTTTTTGTATCAGTCCTGATGAAAACTTCACCAAGACTCACCGGTCTTCCTAATTCCTCTTCCTGAAATGATAAACCAACATATGTCAATGGGAAGTTATGCATCGATTCATAAGACTCTAACACTTAATGAATAATAAAAGAGTAGAAAGTTACCATTTCTTGCTGGATTTGCAGATAGGATTTCTGACCTGAGTAGTGAACGTGAGGACCAAGACCGCCACGTTCAGACAACCGAGCAGCTGAAGTGGTTGAACTCTTTTCTTTGGATTATTCTTTGTCCCAATGCTCAGTCATTTGTTCCCAGAGTGTATTGCCGATCCAGTTAGGTTGCACTCTTGATGTCCTAACGGTGCTGACCATATCCTTCATCCTGCTTTTGCAAATACTCTCAAACTTGGCTTGAACCACACCAGTGATCAAGGGAAGAAACAAAGAGATGATGTTAGAATAAAACATAGATACAAACTCAATAACAAACACATATAAATGAAAATGAGGATCTTACCGCGAATTCCACGAAGTAACGCTCTTGCCTATCATGAGGCACACGAGTCCAGCTGTAGAAAGGGCCATCAAACTTGTTGGTGAAGACCTTGGTAATCTGACGGGTAAGTGAGGACTTGTCACGACCAAACCTACATACAAAGAAAACAAAGGAAGAAGTCATCGAGATCATCATTTGAAGAAGGAAACAAATCAAGCTAGAGGAAGTAGACTTACCACGTTGTACCCGGTTTCTCTATGGGAGACAACACTGTAGTATAAGCCTCTCTTCCAGGCTTGTGAGCAAGGCATTAAGAATCTGAAGCTGGTCTTCAGAGAGATTGACAGCACTGTCTTGTTCTTCAGAAGGATCTGGAAATGCAGCTTCTTCACCGTCATAATGAGCTTGTTGAGAGTGTGGAGAATTACCTCCTTCTTGAGATAATGGAGAGGCTCGGTTTTGAGAGAAAGAAGAAGCTCTGGAAGCTCCTTGATGAGATTGAGGTGATGCAGAATGCTGCCGATGAGGTTGGTCTTGGAAGCGGTGTTGAGGAGATGGAGAGAATCGAATTTGCGATTGCTCTGACCTTTTAGGTTGAGGCGGTGGTTGCAACTCAGGGCCTCCTTTTTGCGAGCTCTGGAAGAGCTCCATCGGCGGTGGATAGTCTCGGACATGTGTCGGCGCGTAGGTTGGGACCAGCGGTGGTGGAGATGTCGCCGGTATGAAATCATACCGACTGGGTAACGGAGTTACGGCGGCTCCTCCTCGTGCTCCTCCGCGTTTCTTCCTTCCACGGCCACCCATCGGATTCCAGGAGAGGCTTGATATCGAAGGTCGTTGGGAATCGATCGATTAGGGTTTCGGGTTTGAGGAGAAGAAGATCGATCGATTAGAACTGAAAATTATGGTTTATCGATCGATTTAGAAGGGTATGGGATCGTTTATCTGTCGATTTAGGGTTGGAATCGAATCGAAAAGGGATCGATTTCAAGGGAGCTTTTGGGATTTCGGGAATTAGGGTTCGTGGAATAGAAAGTGATTTGGGGATTTTTCGCGATTAAGGGTTAATCGAGGTTTAGTGGGCTTGGTAAAATTATTGGGCCTGTTAATGGGATTAGAGTTGGGCTCAATCGGTAAAATTCTATTTTTTTGGACCTTTAGTAGGAGATCAGTCGCTATTCAGTCGGTAAAATTCTATTTTTTTGTAAAAAAAAAAACAACATAATTTATCTTACAACACAACAATTTTATTCATGTTTTGTAATCATAAACATACACAGATTAATAAGGATTCTCTTCGTCTTCATCTTCATCATCAGATGATGATAAATTACACATAAATTCATCTTCTGGTTCTGCATCTCCGACATCAAAATCGAGATTTAGCGGGTTTACTCTGTGTACTCCATTTTCAACAATGATATCTTCAATTGTGGTCAGCATAACAGCATCATCACTCTCTTGTTGCAAGAGAGTTGGTTCTTTATCTTCATAATGTCCTGAAATATTCCCTCTTGGATTCACTTGTAAGACGTTTAGCCACATCTGCTTTGGTTTTTTTCGGGTTGGATATGGAATATAACATATTTGATCTGCTTGGGAGGCTGTGGAATACAAATATGAATACCAAATGAATATATCATCATTATATTTATTGAGTTAGATATGAATTTATATATTTATATATCATGCGTACCTAGAATAAATGGTTCGTATTTGTTGTACTTTCTTGATGAAAGAACGTCAACGACACCACCATTGCTCCTTCGAGTGCCTCTACAATTTAAAGGGTCATACCACTCACACTTGAAAAGTGTGATTTTCAAATTTGCCATCCCCTCATACTCTAGTTGTATGATATCAGTTAAGATCCCGTAAAAATCAGCTTCATCAGATGCATCGGTGTAGTTTTCTCCTTTAACACACACTCCAAAGTTACATGTCTTCCGTCCTCTGCCATGGTTCTGTGTATGAAACAAATATCCTCTCGTAAAGTAAATAGGCCAGGTTTTGGCTTTATTGACTGGTCCGTGAACTATATCCTGAACCCAAATAGGAAAAGGATTTGTGGCGTTCTAGTAAGTAACCTGCACATATAAATATATGTATACATTACTAATTTGTTGATAGAAAACGTACATAGTTAGTAAACATATAGAAAACGTACATAATTCTTCACCCATGAAGGATATTCGTCAGCTCTTTTTTTAGCGACTTCTTTATCAGAGAGTTGTGGATATTTTGTGCAAATATAATCCTCAAACATCCTGTATAAAGGGTTGAAAGTAATGATACTAGAAATGATACTAGATTATACATCTGAAAAGGATGAAATTCGATATACCTCTCAAAGGGTTGAAAGTAATCGCAATTTCGCAAAACATATGCATGTGCAATTTTGTGATCTTTTTCTGAAAGCCATATTTTATGCATTTGCCCACTTGGCCGACCTACGTGAGTAAATATATCAGGAACTCCGGGGACATCATATATAGGGACTTCACCTTCGTCAAATCTTGTTAACCTGTGCAATATTTAATAATAAAAATGAATTCACATATTAATGTAAAATTACCTTGGCCATTATAGACTAATTATAAATATGAATTCACAGTTTTGGAGTTTACCTTGATTTCGTTTGTATATGATCGGAAAAGTAATGCTCCGTAAAATAAGTAATCTCGTCATTGATATATGATTCAACAATTGATCCTGATGCATATCTTTTATTTTTTGCTTTTGCTTTCAGTTTTTTAAAAAACCTTTCAAAAGGATACATCCACCTATACTGCACGGGGCCTCCTAATTCAGCTTCATAAGGAAGATGTATAGGCAAGTGCTCCATTATGTCGAAAAATGATGGTGGAAAAATCTTCTCCAAATTGCATAAGATTAGGACTATGTTTTGTTTTAAGATTTGGACCCTGTTTTTTTGCAAAGTTCTTGAACATAAGTCACGAAAGAATCCTCCAACACCTAGATATATTAAAGTTCAATTCAGAATAAATTACTATAATCAGAACTTTTACATGTATGTACCATTAAATCGACTAAAGTACCTGATAATGCTAGGTGGACGTTACAGTCCAAGAGTTCTGCAAAGATAAATGGAAGTAGCCGTTCCATAAAAACATGGCAGTCATGACTCTTCATGCCGGAAAGCTTTCCTCTTTCTATATCAACACAAGCAGCTAAGTCTGACGCATAACCGTCAGGAAATTGTACCCCTTTCACACATTCCAATAATCTTCTTCTATCAGCTTCTTCCAATGTGTATACTGGAAAAGGAGCTTGACCATTTTCAGCAAGATGTAAGTGTGCCCGATCACAAAATCGTTCTATATCCAACCTTGACATAATATTGTCTTTTGATTTATCCGCAACACTCATTAGAGTATTCATGATGTTATCAAAGAAATTCTTCTCTATATGCATCACATCTAGATTATGTCGGACATTGAGGTCCCTCCATTAAGGCAACTCCCAAAATATACTTTCTTTGTGCCAGTTATGCCACTTCCCATATCCGGGCATCTTTTTTTCATGACCGTTTTCACCGCAATTTTTGCAGGATTGACAGTTTCTATTCGCTTACTATAAACTTGTTCACCGGTCAAAGACTGTGGTGGTGACTCATTTATAGCGTGTCTACCCTTCAAAAAGTCTTTTCTATTCTTTCGTAATGGATGACCATGAGGGAGAAACCTCCTATGACAATCAAACCAACACGTCTTCCTTCCATTAAGCAGATAAAATGCCTTTTTATCGTCCATACAAATTGGACAAGCCAATCTACCATGGGTCGTCCATCCTGACAACATGCCATACGCCGGAAAGTCGCTTATCGTCCACATCAGCACAGCCTTTAGTTTGAAATTCTGCTGCAAAGATACATCGTATGCATCGATTCCAGTTGACCATAATTCTTTTAACTCCTCGATAAGAGGTCGGAGGAAGATATCGAGACTAGCACGCGGATGAGTTGGCCCAGAATTCAGTATTGTGAGGAACAAGTACTCAGTCTTCATGCACATACCAGGGAGTAAATTATAAGGAGTCAAGATCATAGGCCACAATGAATGATTACGAGACATGCCAAATGGATTGAATCCATCTGTACATAACCCAAGATACACGTTACGGGGTTCTTCAGCAAATTGGGGATGTAGATCTTGAAAATATTTCCACTCTGCAGCATCACAGGGATGACACATTTCACCCTCCTTTGCATGGTTTTCAGCATGCCAACTCATTGCCGCTGCAGTCTTCTGGCTCTGATACATCCTCTTTAATCTATCACCAATAGGTAGATACCACATACGACTATATGGTATTCTGGTTCGTGAACGTCGTCCTTCGTTAGGCTTATATCTGGGTGACTGACAAAATTTACACTCCTCCCACATTTCATCTTCTTTCCAGAAGATCATACAATTGTTAATACAAACATCGATTTTATGAAACGGAAGCCCCAAATTTCCCATCAATTTCTCTGTCTCGTAATGTGACTTGGTTGACTGATTTCCTTCTGGTAAATACTCCGTAAACAAAGATGCCCACGAATCCACACACTTTTCACTCATATTATAATCTACCTTATTTTGCATGAACCGAGCAGCTAAAGATAACTGCGAGTGACCTTCATGACCATCATATAATGGTTTTTTCCCAGCTTCTAACAAATCGTAAAATTGTTGGGGATGGTTACGTACATTCTGATAACTATCATCTTGATGATAATTACCATGAAATGCATCATTCACCATATCCACATATCTATCTCCTACTACATTACCCACATCTTCTTCACTCCAACTTAAATGAGTTGTATTACCATAACTTGTTCCATAATCCATAGTAATTTCTTCCCCATGCTTATACCAAATATAGTAATCTGGCATGAACCCTTTACTGTACAGATGATTTCAAATTTTGTTCCCCGGCAAAAATTTATTATTTTTGCAAACACTACAAGGACAGTAAAATTTACCGCCATTACTCTGTGCTAGCGTTTGGTTGTTTGCAAAATTCATAAATTGTTCCACCCCGGAAACAAATTCCGTTGAGAAATTTCCCGTCTCTTCATCGATCCGTCTATACATCCACTCTCTATTACTATTATTACTGAAATTTCCAGACATTATATCTTAGAAACGCTCTCAGAATTTCAGAGCTTCTATAGATTGTGTTTGTGAATGAATGGAAGAGAGATGCGTTGTGCTGTATATATAGAAAAATTTGCGACTAAATTGCTACTATTTTCCGACTAAACTGCGACTGCACAGTTTTAGTCGCAAAAAACCGGTACACCTACCAAAAAACTCATAACACGTGTTATAAATTATGCGACCCGCCGCACAAGTCGCAATGTAGTCGTTAATTAACGACCAAATTACGACTGTTTTAATTGGCAACAAATCAGCGACCCTTTTACGACTAAATTACATTAGTCACTAAATAGGCGTACAACAGTCGCTAAACAGTCGGAACTATTTACGACTGTTTTATCCGTCGTAAATGGCAGTCGCTAATTTCATGTTTTCTTGTAGTGCAAAAATTTCAAAGTGATCTTTTGAATAAAAAATTTTTATTACGTATCGATTGCAAAAACGTTAAAGATGTTTTCCAAAAAATATGTTAAAAACCTTGCCTCAAATCAAATTTTTGCACGATGGCAAGCAATTTTAAGTATTTTTGATTTTGATATAGAATATATTAAAGGAGATTCAAACTCTGTTCCAGATTTATTGACAAGGGAATTTCTTCAAAACAGGTACGATGCCTCCGAGGAAGATTGATAAAGGAAAAGGCATATCCCTGGAACCAATCCCAGAAAAAACCTTACCCCCAAACACATCACCACAGATAAAAACAGAACCCTGTATCTCCGTTACAAAAAAGAATGTGAAAAAAGAAGAACATTCTGATTATCTTCAAACTCCAGAGAAAATCATGGATCAAATTCTACAGCTACAAAAAGCCTTCAAGCTAAGTTTTTCAAAACAGGAGAAGGTTGATTCTTCTAAAACCCCCTCTTCGAAAAATGTCTTAAAATCCTCTGAGGTCCCTTCAAAAATAATTTTACATGAAAACCAGACCTTTAAAATGATTTCAAAACCTTCGAATAATTCACAAATTATTCTGAAGGAGTTTCCACAAAACTCACCTTCTGAAAATTTTGAAAAAACTATTTACCAAAACATTATAAATATTGAAAAAGGATTTTTGGTCAGCAACGACCCATTTTTAACAATCGAAAAATATTTTTGGAAAAACAGATTTTTCAAACCTCATAATACAGATAAAACTGTGTTATTCTTTCAAACAATTTTGGAAATAACAGAATCAGTGTCCTTCAAACATTTTTATAGTAATGAAAACCACACTGATCCTGCTTATTCCACTTTTAAAATTTATAAGGTCATTGCTCCAAGCGATTGGGAATACGATCTTAATGAAAATCTAAATTTTCCAGAAAATCTAAAAGATCTCTCTTGTTTCAATGTCTCTTCAACTATTGTGACTATTGTCAGGCTTGGTACAATTCTTTATTAATCCAATCTTCAAAACGTAAACACACATGGTTAATCTTTTTTGATACCACTTGTGATTTATCCAAATCTCCTTATTGGTTCATTCCATGGTAGAACTATTTTGGTTCTGTTGCCGAAATTTTCAAGCCTAACATTCAAAAGTCTTTCAAATCTTCAAAACAAACTTCATTCCATCAGAAAATGAAAAGAAATTTCCCCCATTAGCCCTTTTTCACTCTAAATTTCATTTTCCTTGGGTTTTTTCGTGGAATCTCGAGTTTTCCCCTGATCCGATTCCAATCATTATGAGAAAGTTCAGGGTAAAATGGTGGGATAAATTTAAAATTCCCTCAAACCTTTATCCGTTCAACATTCTAGAATGGATAAAAATCCAAAATTCCAACTCCTCCGTCGCCCTTATCCAAACACCAAATAAAAACCAAACACCGGAAACAACCTTTTTCTTGGCACAAAAATCCAAAATGTTATCGATGCTAGCAGCAGCTAAATCTGAAGAAGAAATCAAGGTAATCTCCTTACAATTCATGCCTTCAATCTCAGACTCTATTTCACAAACCTCGGGAAGCGGATCAGAATCTAATATCCCATAGGTCGATGAAGAAATTTTTGGAAACAGTGGATGATGATTTCTCGCCACCAAAGTACAAATCTCGACAAAATCACTGTTACAAAAATATCATAAAGACGAATATTTTGATACGATCCACAACGACGAAATACGACAACACCGCACATCGAAGACCGCATTTCTCGATATTATTTTCCGCAGACGTGACACCACTTTGAAATTGGAGACAATCTTTTGCAATTGGAGACAAGCTTTTGTGAGTGGATTTATCCACTCTCTACCACTATTTTATGTTTTATTATTATTTTTATTATTTGAACTCTTGTAAAACTCCTATATAAAGGAGTGTGTGTTTAGTTGTAATCCTCAAGTTTTCATTCTCAATTTCTCATCCTTCTCTTTCATTCTCTTTCTCTACCATATTCTCTAAGTCCTGTTATCTTCTACATTGTTACGATCTCCAATAAGTAAGTTTTTCCAAACTTGTACTATGGCTGGTTTAGCCGCCTTTACTTTTATGTAATAAAAATATTTTATCTTGTGTATTATTACAGTTTACATTTATGTTTATATTTAAATTTATGTTTCTGTGGCTGGTTTAACCGTGCATTATGCTTAATAATATATATATATATATATATATATATATATATTTTATTAATAATTTTTATTTTATTTCTGTTTCTTTTATGTTCATAATTTTATTTTATGATATTTCTTTTTTTTATATATGATCTACTTCCATTTCTTATGGTATATATGTATATATATATATATATATATATCAACACCACTTCTTGTTTACATATCTCACCCTTATCACAATGGCAAGCAAAGGAGAGAGGGGGAGATCACCGGCGCGAGGAAGAAGAGAGAGAGAGAGAAGTCGCAGGGAGAGACAGGAGGCTAGTGTCACTGGAGGGAGGACAAAAAAAGGAGGCAGTGATTTTCTTTTGTGTTTAGGGTTAGAGGAAGAAATTAGGGCTTATATAGGAGTTTTTAAATCAGTTTAATTAGGAGATTAGAAAATCAATTGGAAAAAGAAAATTAAAACAATTCCTAATTAGGTTGGGTTATTACAGAAAGAAAAATTGTTGGGTTCACCCCTAGGAGTGAATCACTTTATTCACCCCCTCTTAATTTTACTAATAAGAATGTGATATCCAATATTATATTGAAATTAAACAAATAAAATATAAAATATAAAATCATTAATAATAAAACAAATGAAACCCAACCCTAAAAATTAAATGAAACAAAAAGCTTAATGATTGTATATTCTTAATTTTTTTATTTGTTTATTTTAAATTTTAATTGGTGAATATTCTAAACACAATTTATTTTTCAAACTTATCATCCTAAATTTAAATTCCAATAGCACAAATAATTATGTAAAAATACTTGTTTATTCAAAGTTAATTTAAAATAAAGTTAAACATTATGTTTGAGTTCAATATTTGCAATTTAGGGTTTAGTTTTTCTCCATTAAAAATGTTTAAATGTAATATCTTGGTTAAAATAAAAATGGGTGAATAAAAGGTTCATTCTTGGGGATGAACCTAAAAATTGTTTCTTCATTTGTCTTTCTATTATTGATTTATCTTTTAAAAAGAATATAAAATTTTAATTATATAATTAGATTATATCTATTAATAATAACAAGATGAAAAACTATGAATGAACCATTGAATTATTATGTCTTTCTATTGTCATTTTCATGTATAGCTGCTAATTTATATAGAAGTTATCATACTACGGTTGTGTCTTTTCGTTTTATATTATCAATTATACCATTTCATATATAAATAACCGCTGATTATCAATGATTGCCTCTATGAATGAACTTGTCGTTCTAATTATTATTATTATTATTTTTAGTTAATTGAACCTTTTCAAGTATAACTACTAATTTATATAAAGTTTATCATTCTACAGTTGTGTCTTTTCGTTTTATTTTATTAATTATACCATTTCATATATAACCACTGATTATCAAATGTTGTTTTTCTTAATACTTATGTCTTTTCAAGATTATATATATTTTGTTTCATTCTTCATTATTTGTTTTATTGATATTTTTTATAATGCTTTCTTACTTTGAAAAATAACACCTTATATAACAATTTATTGTTGATAAACTTCAAATTAACTTAAAATTTCTTAATCAAAACATTGATCATTTGCAAGCAAGTGATTTTTGTATGTTTGAAAATTTGTTAACGAATATCTAGGGAGGCGAAAATAAGGCGATTAGGTTTTTGGTGCTCTCTTGTCGTGTTATCAAGGTTTGGATGCCGGCGACGCCACCATGACGGCGCCGGAAGCGGAGGTTGACAGTCAGAAGGAGTCGGATCAGGTGCAGGAGGAATCGTCAAAGTCGTCTTGGGATAACGTGGTCAAGAAGATCCCGAGTTTGTCAAAGGTGATTGTGCCGGATGATGTGATCGGAGATGATCCGTTATGGGAAAATCTGCTTGGGGGAAGGTTCTTAGCAACAGCTCCGCATATTGCTAAAGATCATGTCATGGTAAACAAAATTTGGCCTTTAGGAGACAAAACAATCAAAGTCGACGTGTTTGAGGTAAATTCAAACACGATGAGATTCAGAATTCGGGATGCAAGAGTTCGAAACAGAGTTTTTAGGAGAGGAACTTGGAATATTGCTGATATACCGATGGTTATATCGAAGTGTTCACCCATCAAGGAGCCTCCACCAGAAATCAGTACAATTCCCATCTGGGTAATTTTAAAGAACGTTCCATACTTGATGTTTTCATGGAAAGGGCTGGGATTTCTTTCTATTGCAGTCAGAGTTCCCAAGCGCTTACACCCTAACACAGAGCTCTGCAAAAAATATGAAGAGGCAAAGGTTTTCGTGGAGGCTGATCTGTCAAAACCTTTACCAACAAGTCACTGTTTCGAGATTCAGAGTGAAGATGTCGAGAATGAATACATGTATCCTTGGATACCATCTCGGTGTTCAAAATGTAGCAAGTGGGGCCACCTGGAGGATGTTTGCTTGCCAAAATCAGGGAATGTTAGGATTCTAAAGCGAGGAACAAGAGAGAACTTGGTATCCACAGAGGTGGCTGAGGTAGAAAAGGTTCCAGAATCTCAGCTGACTCCGGCCAAATCAGGGCAGAAATCGAGAAGTAAGAAAGCCGAATCAGCTGAGCGAGTTTTGGGAACTTCGGATGCAGGGAGTTTGGACCCTCATTAGTCGGAGGTGGAAAGCGAATGGCGCGTAGTTTCACCGAACAAAGTAGGCCGTCAGGCTGAAAGTGCAAAGCAAGATGTAGTGATTTCTTCACCTTCTCGATTTCTCATTCTCCAAGATGTTGAAGATGAGGGGAATGAGGAGTTAGAGAGCAATAAGGGTAAAGAGCATGAGGAAGATATGTTGGTAGCTGCAGCTCTCCGTAATCCAGCAGAAACAATTCCCCAAACGAATGTGTCTGCTGAGATGGAGGAGGGAGAGCTTCAAGCTGAGGACCAAACAGATAAAATGCGAGAAAAAAGGATGAGATTGGCAATCGTATTCCTCTCCCACACGCGTCAAAGAATTCAAACAAAACACTCTCTGAACCACTTGCTGCTGCTGCTGCTCCAAGCACTGTAGCAAAAAAGAAATCCCTCAGACGAAATTAGATGACAGGGTTCTTCTGGAATGTTCGCGGATTCAACAAAACTATTAAACATTATGTAGTGAAGAAGTGGGTAGTGGAGAATTCTCTGCAATTTGGTTGCTTGTTGGAGACTCGGGTTAAGGAGAGTAAAGCAATGCAAATTGTTTCATCAGTATTTTCGGGTTGGTCATATATGGCTAACTATGAGCATCACCGGTTAGGTCACATTTGGGTGGTTTGGAGTCCAGAAGTGAGGTTAACAGTTAATAACTGTTTCGGTAAAGGTGGAGCATCTAGAAGAGGAATTCTTTTGCTCTTACATTTATGCATCAAATTTTAAGGATGATCGACGAGAGTTATGGGGGGCCTTAAGAGCTCACCAGGATTCTCCGATGATCAGAAACAAGCCATGGATTCTGCTTGGAGATTATAATGAAATTTTTGATGGAGAGGAACACTCAGAGTTTGCTAATTCGCCAACTATCTCTGCTGGAATGAGAGATTTTCAGGAGATGGTTAGATATTGTTCCCTTGAGGATCTGACTTATCATGGCTCTTTATTCACATGGTGTAACAAAAGAGAGGAGGGTACCCTCATTTGTAAAAAGCTGGATAGAGCTCTGATAAATCGATCATGGTACCAAGCTTTTTCAAGCTCGTACTCTGTTTTCGATTCAGGGGGATGTTCAGACCATGCTCGTTGTCGAATTCAACTAACTACCCCGGTTGAGTCTACTCGTAGGCGATTTAAATTTATGAATGTTCTTACAGAGTGTCAGAAATTTATTTCGCAGGTGACAAACTTCTGGAGTAACACACCTACCCTGTTCAACTCAACGTCAGCGTTGTTTCAGTTCTCCAAGAAATTAAAGAACCTGAAACCAATTCTAAAAGAGATGCGGAAGAGCAGTGTGGGGGATCTTACTAAGAAAACGAAGGAGGCGTATTCAGCTCTTTGTGAGAAGCAACAGGTAACTCTTGCGGCTCCAACAGAGCAGTCTATTGCTGAGGAAGTCAAAGCTAATAATCGATGGTAGACAGTAGCAAAGTTAGAGGAGAACTTTCTAAAACAAAGATCCAAATTACATTGGCTTAACACTGGGGATGGGAACAACAAAGTCTTTCACCTAGCGGCACAAACCAGAGAGATTCGAAATTCAATAAGGGATATTCATTTTCCTAATGGAGTGATCGCTAAGAGTAGCACAGATATTAAAGCAGAGGCTGAAAGTTTCTTTCGACAGTTCCTCCAAGCAGTCCTGACTGAGTTTGAGGGTGCATCCGAAGATAGACTTGCTGAGCTGTTGCAGTTTCAGGTTTCGGATACAGACTGTTCGCTTCTCACTCGGGCAGTGACAGATGATGAAGTCAGGGATGTATTATTTAAGATGCCAGCAAATAAATCACCAGGTCCCGATGGATTTACATCCGAGCTCTTTAAAGCTGCTTGGCCGGTGGTGGGTAAGGATTTCACTGTTGCAGTTCAGTCATTTTTCACTAAAAGTTTTCTTCCAAAGGGCATCAACACCATGATATTGGCTCCTATACCAAAGAAGGAGGATGCTAAAGAAATGAAATATTATCATCCATGTGTATAAGGTAATATCAAAAATCATTGCAAATTGATTGAAGCAGATTCTCCTGAAGTTCATCGCTCCGAATCAATCTGCTTTTATCAAAGATCGGCTGCTAGTTGAAAATCTTTTGCTTGCCACTGAGTTGGTGAAGGATTATCACAAAGCAGACATTTTTCCGAGGAGTGCGGTAAAGATCGATATATCAAAGGCATTTGATACACTACAGTGGCCGTTTCTGCTGAATACACTGGCTGCTCTAAATTTCCCGGCAATATTCATTCACTGGATCAAGTTGTGTGTGACGAGGGCGTCTTTCTCGGTACAGGTGAACGGGGAACTCGCATGGTTCTTAAAAAGTTAGAGAGGGTTACGTCAAGGCTGCGCTCTTTCTCCATATCTCTTTGTGATCTGCATGAATGTCCTGTCTAAACTCTTGGATACTGCGGCAAGAGAACGTCGAATTGGTTATCACCCATCCTGTAAAAACATAAATCTAATGCATCTCTGTTTTGCTGACGATAATAAGATCTTTACAGATGGTAATATTCGGTCGTTGGAAGGAGTAATAGAGGTTTTTAACGATTTTGCGAAGATATCAGGTCTGAGAATTAGCTTGGAGAAATCCACCTTGTTCACTGCTGGTATATCGGAGAATACTCGAGATCTGTTTGCTACAAGATTCCAAGTCGCAACAGGTACTCTAGTTCGATACTTAGGCCTTCCTCTGATCACGAAAAGAATGAGTAGTTCGGGCTATCTGCCTTTGCTAGAGAAGATTAGACGATGAATTGGCACATGAACAGCGAGATTTCTCTCCTTTGTAGGAAGACTGCAACTGATTAAATCAGTACTTCTAAGCACTACAAATTTCTGTCTCACTGCTTTCTGTCTCCCAGGTGAATGCATAAAGGAGATCAAAAAACTATGTTCTGCATTTCTCTGGTAAGGTCCTGAGTTGAGTTCTCGGAAAGCCAAAGTCTCATGGAGTGATGTATGTAGGCTGAAAAAGGAGGGGGGATTGGGTATTCGGCCACTAAAAGAAGTGAACAAGGTGTGCTCTATGAAACTTCTATGGAGAATAATTGCTTCTAAAGATTTGCTATGGGTAAGGAGTACTTGCTGCGATAGCACTCGCTTTGGGCTATTAGCGATTCAACATCATCGGGATCTTGTATCTGGAGGAAGCTCCTGAAATGCAGAGATATGGCAGCACAGTTCTCTCGCGTAGAGGTTGGAAATGGGTTTTCTACTTCTTTTTGGTATGATATCTGGTCACCCCATGGGAGACTTTGGATAGAACTGGTATTGCTGGACTTATTGGTATGGGAATTAAACAGAATGAAACAGTCGGATCAGTGCTTGTGACTCACTGGAGAAGGAATCCCCGTGCACTGATAACACCGTATTTTGACCACTTTAATGGATCGTTTTGAAATAATTTTTCTATGTTTTTAATTTCTTTCAAGTACTTTTATTACGTTTTTCTAGTATTTGTAGTTCCAAGGCTCTTTTCAGGAAATTTAGGGAAAAGTTTAACAAAATGGATAAAAACCAGATTTTCAGCTCAAAGTCAAACCGTCAGAAGTTCACCCCCGATTGAAGGCCTTCTCACCGTCTGATCCAGCTCAAATTTCTAGATCTCAAATATGGAACTATCAGCTTTCCAAAACACTTTACAGCTTGGCAATCCAACGGTTCAATCAAAAGTTATGCGAAGAGCAAGATGTCCCATAAACCAGCCGGCAAGCATTTCCACCCGCGGTCAACAGCCATTTCACCACGATCAGAGGCTACCCGACTGCGGCCAAGCATCCATTCCCCGCGGCCACACACTTCCCGACCGCGGCCAGCCAACTCTGAGTTAGAAGGCCCATTTCTGAAGCCCAAATCATTTTCTAAGCCTCAATTCCGGAACACTAGACACCATGGAGTATTGGAGACTATAAATACTTATCACTTAGGTCGTTTTTACAGAGAGGAGAATAGAGAAGAGGAGAGACGAAATACTTTAGAAGAGATTTACTTTAAGCTTTTGTTTTTAGGTTTAGGGAGAGAGAGATCTATCTCTTGAACCCTTGTTCTTTCTTTTTCAATTTCGATTATTGCTCTACTTTCTAATACTATGTTTTTGATTTCGTTCATCATGTCTGAGTAGTTTTATTGATGGGTCAAAGGGATTTTCGATGGGGATATATATGTTCGATGAGGATTCCATGAGCTATTGAAGCCGAATCTTATAACTTTTTCTTCTGAATTTACTTTTAATGCATGGGAGTAGCGTCATGAACTAGTTTGGGAGAGCAAAACAAACATAGGAGTGGAAACCTACCTATGGGCGATTTGTGAATGCTGACGAGACTTAAACATAGTGCATCTTTTCTCTTCCAGGGCTAGAGTAGAAACCTGCTGGTCAGAGTTGAGAGAGATAGTTGTCTATGATCACGGTAGTGGCGTATTCATACGTCTGTGACTGTAGTTTGAAAAGTTTTAGCTAAGATCTTATCAAATAAACTTCCCTGAAACCCAGCGCCCTCTTTTCTATAGATTTACATCGATTTTATTTCAAGCTTTAGTTCATCATTTTCATTCTCTTAATCGATTTTTATTTAAGCAATTAGGTTTAACCGTTTTTCTCGTTTTTAGTCGATTTCATTAAGTTTATTTATTAGGTCATTTTAATTCCCGTATTTTCTCGTTAAGATTAGTTTTACGTTTTAAAGACACCACCAAAACCCTTACAAAAATTGTCTGGCTCTAGACTTCCTTACTTTATATTTCTTTCGAAGGCTTTGGCAGGAAAGTCCTCCTTCCCTGTGGATTCGATCTTTAAGTACTACAACCGATCAGCTGTGCACTTGCGGCTATTGACTTCATTTAGGGTAAAACTTGACAACCCTCACAACAGCACACATCATGCACCAATATACAGGGAGACAGAGAAAGTTACTGACGAATTGCGCCTAAGTGAGCGATCTGGAGCCGATCGAAAGATATGGCAAGGGTGAAATAACAAGTTCAAGACAAAATTCTCGGCACACGAAACCTAACGCAATATTAGAACAGAGCAGCCTCGAGTGAATTGGTACAAAAGAGTTTGGTTCTCATGTGCCACTCCTAAGTATTCGTTCATGGTATGGCTGGCCATTCAAAATCGTTTAGCGACTAAGGATCGAATGGTGCACTGGAACTCTGCAATAAACATGGTCTGTGCCTTCTGCAACGACCCAATGGAGACGAGAAGTCATCTTTTCTTCTCCTCCAGATTCTCGGCGGAAATTTGGACAAAGATTGCTTCTAATCTACTTGGAAATAGCTTCTCCACAGATTGGGATAGTTTGGTTCTTCTCCTCTCTGACTCCACACTCAGCTCAACACCTCTATTCTTGTTCAGATATGCTTTTCAACTGGCTACACATACTATTCGGCGCGAGCGAAACAGGAGAGGACATGGTGAACAACCTCAATCCTCTCTCCAGATGATTCTCTTCATTGATAAGGGAGTGAGAAACAGAGTCTCCTCCATATGACACACAAATGGCTTCAGATACGATGACGGCCTAACTTGGTGGTTCTCCACCCGCTGAAGCTGATCCGAGCTAAATCAATCTCTATTCTAAGTGTTGATTAATTTTTTTTAATCAGACTATAGAAGCATTCATTGTAAAGACATTTTTTGTTAAATAAATTTTACATTCTTCAAAAAAAAAAAAAAAAATTGTTACCGAAATGGTGTTACAAGAAATTTTTTTTAGTAGATGGTTAGCTATGAATAAAGAAAAACTTGAAATGTGCTCACTTTCCAAGAAAATAGTTTTGGAAAAAATGCCAAAAAATTTGGACTAAACAAAAAAATGGTAATTTTCTTGAGAATTATTTTAGTAATCTTAAAAGGCAACATAATATTTTTTTCCTATGTTTTTTTAGTTCTATTTTATTTTTTTTTTTAAAAAAAAACTCTATTTAGCCATCAATAAAGAAGACTTTGAATTGCAGGGTTTCACATCCTCTCAATATCCAGGAAAAAAAATTTGGAAAAAAATTCAAAAAATTAGGACTAAACGGAAAAATGGTAATTCTTTTGACAAGTTTATCACTAATTTTAGGCAACATTATCTTTTTTACTATGAGCATATTAGTTATAGTTTAAAATCAGATTTTTAATTTATCATTGAATATGCAAGTGTAGCACTACTTTTGGTTATATTATAATTGTTATATAATTTATTTGACACAGGTAACATGATATACCAAAATATCATGGGGAATAAAAATGTACTTTCTAAAGTAGATAATGCAACTAATAGATTTGGATGTGAAGTGAAAAAGAAAACAAAAAAACGAAGCTAATTTATGTGAAAGTGATGAAGATTTTTGTCTTGTAAATAAGAAAATAAAAAATCACAAAATAAATTTCAAGACAAAAGAAAATTTTAAGAGGAAACAAAAAAAAACCTAAATCTCTGAAGAAAATAAAGATATGAAAAACTATGAATGAACCATTTTATCTTTGTTTTTATTATTATTTTAATTAATTATATTTTTTGTGAAAAAGTTATCATTATTATAAAGTTGTATCTTTTTCATTTTTTTTAATTATATGTTTCTGTGAAAAATTACGAATAAACCGTTATATCCTTCCATTAAATATTTTTTAAACTGTGTTTTTATGTATATATCTCCTTGTTATTGTATGGTTATGTCTTTTGGTCTTTTTTATAGGAATATGTGTTGTTTATTTAGTGAATATATGATTACATTTTAATAGGAAATAAATGTTGGAGATTTACGTGTTATGGTTATTTTGTTGAGTGATTAGAACTATTGAGTTTATGGTAAACATTTTATATATCAAGCATACAATTCACCTATTAAAAGCCATAAAGTTGAAGTATCAGCTATAGTTACAAGTTTTTCTAACACCATTGGCATAAGATCTACAAATCCACTATTTTTAAACAAAAAATGTATTATTTATTCAATAGTATGATCAAATTTAGTTATTATGTATTTCCTTTTTCGTTGACAAAAAAAAGTATTTCCTTTTTCATTTAAAAAAATTACTCATGTAAGAAATAATAACAATATGAAAAACTATGAATAAACCACTGAACCAGTGTGTATTTCTATTTATTATTATTATTTTAATTAATTGTACTTTTTCATGTATAACTACTAATTTATTCAAAAGTTACAATTTACGGTTGTGTCTTTTCGTTTTATTTTATTAATTATATCATTTCATACATAACCGTTGATTACCAATGGTTGCTTCTTTTAAATACTTATTTCTTTTTAAGATTGTATTTATTAATAGATATATGTGTTTATTTAGTGAATCTATGATTACATTTTCAATCATTG